CCCCAAAACCCCAAAACCCCAAAACCCCAAAACCCCATTTTAGAACAAAAAATTCAAATTTGGAGGAACAACTAAACAATTGGGTCATACTCTGGGAGGACTATAAGCCAAATCCTTCGAATAAGCCAGAGAGCATTGACTTGTTCTGATCGCTAGGCAGCCTGGGAGGCTGCCTAGACTGATCATGAACTTGTTGATACTCTGGGTATTTGGCAATGATTCTTCTTTGTAGATCCTCAGCATCCTTTACTGTATTTTCTCAATTGACATTCTTCAGGTATAAACTTCTGCTCAAAACCCACTTGAGAAGCTCCATACAGAATTGATTGTCATTTTCACTAGAAGTGAAGATGATGTCAGCTCTGTAATACGCTAGCTTCAAGCTAGTGATTTCATAAGAGTCAGGATCTTTCTCATTGAAAAAGTTGTCAATAGTTCATAACAGGTTTATGTTTAGCTCGTTTCTCCAGCTATTCTTATTATTTTCTACCAAAAATTGGAATAACTCTTGCTGCTTGGCAGTAAATATAAAGAACAGACCAATAAGTCTTTCCTGAGGGTTCCTATTTCTTTTAAATAAAGATGATCCAAGCTTATCAAAGTATATTAGAGTCTGCTTTGGCTCTATTGTTTCGACACCCCCAGGGTTTAGGATACTCAGGACTACCATAGTGAAGGTAGTCACCCAATTGTTAAGCAAATCTTCTTCTTTGAGCTCATGAGCCTTGTTGATACAGATCATTAATAATATATACAAAGTGTCTTTGGCATCCAACACCTTTTTAACATAATTCTTAACCATGTTTTCGTACTCATCTTTGGAGAGGAAGACTGAACTAAAAATCAGCAGCAATGAGTTCATGTCTTCACCAATGAACTGAGGGTTTTTGACCAACTCTTGTAGGAGAACATTCACTGGTGACTCTCCGTTTCGGATATTGCTAAGAATCTTGTCACTGGTGTCATCCATTGTGCTAGTTGAGCTTAATTTAAATTCCTCTGTATTGTCAACATCAATATTCTCGGAAAGAAGGTTGATGATCTGCTCTCTGATACCTAAGCTTATCATTGGAAAGTCTTACCAGATTCGATCCCTTGAGAAGGTTTAAAGAGATTTGTATTAATATTCATTAAAAGTTCTATAATTTGCCAGAAAAGGAGATCTTCTTCGCTCTCATTATTGTTGCATGCGTCCATTGTTACTTTCCTTAATATCTGTAGAAAGATAAATACCTGGATGCTTACATTACGGTACTGGTTTAGATTCTTTTTCCTTTGGGGATCTTGAGCACAGAAAATACCTGTGAATTAGTAAAGAAATATTACTTTTCCCTTCGTGAGTTAGAGACTTTTGGGCTACTTCTCTAGCAATTTTTGTCGAAATCTTCTCTGATATCTCAGCAGCTGGAGCAGGTACCTCCTCCTCTACAACAGGGGTGTTATCGACTGGAGGTGCTGTAGGTCTGAATACAGAAGGAGTCTCCCTTTGTAATTTTGGCTTTGTAGAAACAGCCGAATCAAATTTTGGAGGTGCTGCCTTTGAATTCTCTTGTTCCATAAACTCAGGAGCAATGTACTTCTGTACCTTCCTTATCTTGTTTGAGATTGAAAACATATTTGAAGCTTTGAAAGGAGGTGGCCGAGAACTAAACTTAGGTGGTTTCGACATCTGATCTTTGGAGCTAGGCTGCTCAGGCTCTTTTACATCTTCTTGCTCAACTTCATTATTTAGCAGGAGACTCCTCTATGCTATAACTGATCTCATTAATCGCTTGTGCAGTAATAGCCTCTTTTTGAGTAATCTCCACTATAGAATCAGTCTCTTGTTGGGTAAAATCGAGCAATTCTTGTGGGATAGTATTTGCTTGGCTGACTTGATGTTCATCTTGAGAATGTTCACTAGAAATTACTGATATAAAATACCTATCTTCATCATCTTCTTCTCCAAGTATCTCTTCAGATCCCTCTTCTGAATGGATTTCCTGGTATCCCTCTTCTGGTTGTTGAGTTTGCTCATCTGGTAAATTTTGTTCGGCTTCTAGTTGTTAAATACTAAAAATACCAGAGTGTTCTTGGACTGGTTCAGGAACATGCTCTTGTTTGTTAACTTCCTGTTTGGCAACAACTTGTTCATCCTGTTTCTCCTCTTCACTTTCATCATTATTCATAATGAAGTTTGCTATTGAGTCAAATAAGCCCTTGGGAGGAGGCTTTCCTGTTGAAATTACACGTTTTTACCTACTTTGTACTTGCTCAGGGGATTTTTCCTTGTCAATCCGAATAGTCTCAAATTTGTCAGAGTCCCTTCTAGTTTCTTGAGTTATTAAAGTCTTCTGTTCTTCGGCTAATGGCTGCTGAAACATTTCTGCAATAGACTCTTTAGGCTCTTCAACTCTAGTATCCTTAGGCTCCTCTATAACTGGCTCTTTGTACTCTTCCTTTGTCTGCTTCTCTTCAGGAATGGGGATGGAAGCAGAGAATGCTGTAGTTGGAACCTCTCCAAATAATGATGAAGGCAAGACAGGAGCCCTATTCCTATTTATTGTAGCTTTCTTCTTAGGAGCAGGCCGAGGTACAGGCACAGGTGCTCGTACTTTCTGTTCTTCCATTTGCTTTATTTTAGGCTCTTTATTTATTTCCAAAGTTGGTTCTTCTCTCGGTTCTGGCTCAGCTGAAACTGGCTCTGATGAAACTACTTGATCTGAGACTAGTTTATCTTGGGGTAGTTCTACAGGTGCCGGATCTCCCTTTAAAATTTCTAGTTGCTCTTCATGATGTGGCTCTGCCAAATTATTAGCAATATCTTTTTGAATATTATCTTGTGCATCCCAGTTAAGACTGCAAGCAAGAGGTCGAGATGCTTGAGTGGTAGTCTGTTGTAATGGCTGTGAATCCTCTGCCTCCTGTTCATCGTCTGAAGAGTCTACTCCGTCCATTAAGTTATTGAAAAAGGCATTATAGTGCCCTTGAGGCTGATTACTCATATCTACTATCAATTATTTTTTAAGTAAAGGGGTTTTGGGGTTTTGGGGTTTTGGGGTTTTGGGG